GTATACGCAGCTGCAATCAGACATTTTCCAAAGAAATTGATACCTCACCTTTTAGCTGGCAGATGTCTACTAGCCACTTTGGTTCCTGAATGCCAGAGTGAGCGTGTCAGAGACCCACGCAACGATTTGGTTTGGTCTAGGATCTCCTGAACGGTTGCTATAGCTTTTAGCCTAGCAACAGGTACAGCTTTTTCAACGTCTTGATGACTCGCAATGTTCTGGAAGACTGCCGATTCCATCACATCACTCTCATAGAACTTTCTTTCAAGGTGTGCAAAATCAAAGCTTGGTTGTACAACACTTGTGTATGAGTAAATTGAGTTGATTTGGAATTCTGAATAATGTAACATGCGGTACAAGCAGGCAAATGCTTTTACGTGTTTGTTTTTGCCACTACTAGTAGTCAACAAATGCTGGATCACGTCATGGATCAACTTGAGCATATGTGGAAGCAAGTTTTTATGGAGTGTATCCCAGTGAAGTAGATTCATTGTACATTTGAATAGAAGAAGAACCCTGAAAATACGAGGATAGCGTTTAGCAAACTTTGAAAAGTTGTTCCTCAACAAGTTGGTAGAATCAGTCCTGAGTAAATTACCATCGCATTTCATGAGAACTTGCATTAGTATACTGATTAAACGTGCTGTGTGCTGCATCAGTGATTCCAATTGTAAAGACCATTTGTCAGTTACTGAGACTCCAAGACCCCAGGCTGACAATATCGCTCGATGAGCTTTTTTCACCAGCACCAACAGCTCATTGAAGTCAGCACTTGTTTCAACCCTTCCATCAATACTATCCATTGTTCCAAACATTATTTTACCCTCATTCACCGAATCAAATGGTTTACCATAATCTGAGAAATCGCTACTTGCTGTTAGTGCACACTTTTCACGACCGTCTATCACGTCTGCCGCAAGATTCAGTGTTTCAGGTTTACGGAATCCAAAGAAAGCACTTCTTTTCAATGATGGAAAAGGGTGTGAATTGTTTTGGTTTGGACTAACTAGTATTTCAGCTGCTTTTGGCTTTACCATCTTTGTGAATACTAGTGGCTTTAATGTTACACCAAGTTGCCACTGGTCATTCAGCTTTGAAAGAGTGTCATGTCCTTCTATAAGGTACTGTTCTATTGTTGCTTCACATGTGAGGTCTGCTGGTAGAGACAGCACTGTCACCAGATAGCCATCTGAGCAAAGTATCATTGGTTGTGTGGGATGTGTTGTCACCGAAAAACGTTGCTTCATTGGGTCAGATTCAGAGTTGTCAGAGTTACCATTCCCATCTTCATTATTCATTGTTCTAAAAAGATATATACATTTTAAGATCCAGTATATTACACTAGAACTTTGTTTTAGTATATTACACTAGAACAAAGTTTTGAATTTTGTACAATGCCATAAAATGGCATTGTAACATAACACCGCTAAAAATTCATAGTGTAACAAAAAAAATGAAGAGCAAGAGTGAGAAGTTACGGTAATGAATGACAAAAAAAAATTTTTTTTAATTATCAAACTGAATTCAATTCAAGAGAGAAAAAGATTTATTCAAGAAAAGTAGCTGTATGTCTGGTATAATTACCAGACATATCACTGGCAAGCTGCCATCACATCCCTCATGAATATGTTTTCAAACACAATCATCCAAGTTGCCAATCATTAGGCCATTAACCAAAATCACACACATCATACATGTTAAAATACAAGTCTGGAGTTGACTCTATCTTGATGCTGTCATGATGAAAAACTAACATTTTTGGCGCTTAAACGAACACACCCTTGAAAAGTGGCTCAGAGGGGACTGATTTCATGCTAGTTCAGTTTGATAGCATTTTGATAAAAGTGAATTATATCTGTAACTAATTTAAATCATCATTTTGAGTATAAATCATTGCTAATCCTCAAAATGATTCCACCTGTTTTCATTTATCTGATTGTAAAATATTACATATATTTCAATAGAATTGGTGATCAAGAGGGCAGTCAAATATGATTAAACAGATTGATCATTTTTTTATTGATATTAAAGTGATAAGAAAGTGATATTCCCAATTGTCCATTTATAGTTTATTGGTCAGTGGGCAATAAACAATTCCACTATGGCCTATACCTTAGAGATTGTTGCTATGGTCCTACATAACCACATCCTTTTATGGTGTGAAGTACACTAAACATAAATTTGCATATTGCTGGCCTACCCTAAAAACTCAAACTGTCGCCATGTGCTTTTTTTTTTTTTTTTTGTGAACTTTGGATGGGCTTTCGCTACTTTTGCAATGTAAAGAGGGGGAGGGGGGCTCTTTTCAAAATGAATGCTGTAAATTTTAAGAATTACTACTATAATACAATAAATAGAGCCACTGTAATATCAATCTGTATCATGGATTGTATTAACCGGCATTTAATCACCTAAACTACTGTATAAACCAAGCACTTTTTAAACTTTTTTTGTTTCCTTGTAATTCATGTAATGTGTATGTACTGCACTATCTCAAAAAATAGCCAATGCTCTCTTGAAAAGCCCATGGTCTTCTTTTTGAGGCTACTTTTGCAAACTAATGAGGGGATTTCAATTCAAGATGGGCTTCTTCTCAAGATTACGGTATGCCCTTTGGGGCTTCTATTTGAGGTTTTGTGGATGCCTATTGAGATTTAATGAGATCATGTGCTATAAGTAAGATGAGCCAAGGACGAAGCTAGCACAGCAAAATACAATGTTTACTGGTATGGATGAAAAATTAAATATTACAGAGTAAACACCCACCACTTAATTTTTTAAACCATATTTTTAGATTATCATCAGACATTGCCATAGAATTAATTTTGAATGTTATTTTAATAACTACTAATTACCTGATAGTAATAACAGGATGAAAGGGTAAAAAATAAGCTGGACCCAACTCAACAGAGCACCCTTCAGCTTGCAAGACCAGCAGTTCACCAAGCCGTGAGAATATACATAAAGATCCTCTCATAGTTATGCAAACTAGGAATAGGGAGTCGATGGTCCATTCCATGCTACCAACACGATACGATCTGTAAATATAATTATTCATGATTACAGATAAAGAAAATAAAAGTATGTCAAACTATAATTACCGCGTTCACATGTCTTAGGTCGCAAAGAACAAGTCAAAAATACACAAGAAAATGGCAACTATATTTTTGTTTGTGCCAGGCTATTCGCTGACGGATCGGCGATCACCCAAATATGTCAGTTGGGGACTGTTGGAGAATCGTCAATGCCTCCTCCACCCATGTCTAGGATCAGAAATCGCTGGCCTAGCATATTTACAACCAATTGGGGAAGTGACATAAATTTATTTCCAGTTGCTTCAAAAGCAGCAGCGAACGCGATTTGGCCATTTTTTTTATCTAACACAATCCCCTCATGACAAAGTGCCTCAACCTCTCGCGATCGATAGAGAAATGTGAACGTGACTAATATGGTGGTATGTCTTGATATTTCTTTAATGGTACAGTACTTTATTGTTTTACATAATATTGATGGTGTACATGATACTTGAAGTAGTTTCAATAGCTTTTCAACTGATGTATCCAAACCGCCATTGCTGAATACCAAAATAAATAAGCTCACCATAGATCCGATATTTAATTGCAAATTTAAGTTTATAATGCACAGTACTTTATTCTATTCACCTAAGTGCTTCTGTTTCATTGAATGTGAGTGAATTATTATTGCATAACCATACTATATATTATTTTAATATCGCATACTCTTGTATACAAAATGAAAGCACTAACAAAATGGGGATCAATTCCAATACCATGATGTAGTGCAAGGGTGCACATCAATTTAAAAAAAAGAAAAACTGAAAGTTAATACGGTCTGTAGATTTTCAATCCTTATTCAAGATACTCGCAATGAACCAGATGGGGACAAGATAGCGAGGAAGCGTTTTCGGGTACAAATGTAGCGGATCTTTCATAACCCATTGACATCGTCTGTAAAGCAGGAAAAACATGTCAACAGCAAATATACAACAGATTCTCTGGCTACCCTGCCTGCACTCCTCACACAGTCCAGACTACACCACAGTGTTACCTAGAGACCCTAGCAGATCTAAAAGGGGTACATGTATTTCAAAAAAGGAATACAAATCCTGACTAAGCACATAATTTACAAAACAAACAGGAAGCGATCAGTTCTAGGGAAGTATAAACGGGCCTAGCTCACGGGAACATCTACAGACTCAGGAGGAAAGTTAGTATTGGGGAGAAATGAAATATGAAGCGACTACACATTCAAGGATATGATTCGGTAGAGGTCTTGAGACAGATCAGCTTTATCATGTCATTTGTACTCAAGGGCAAAATAAGACCCGTGGTGGAAGATAGGGTGTAAATTGGAAAGAAAACAGTAATTACTGAAGGAAATGAGATGGATAAACGTAGAATCAGAAGACACAGCATAAACAACACAGGCTGGTTTTACACTTCTTGATAACATTACAGAGACAGGCACATATGAATGGCTGCATAGATTACAGTCTCCCTCTTTCAAAATGCAACCAAATAAGATGTTTAAATGCACCAATCTTTACCCATCCTCATGTATCAGCAGAAAATCAACAGAAACGAAAACCAACCAACTGGCTTTAATTAATGTAAAGGTGATCACTATGGAAAAACACTATAATTACTACTATTACCGTTTCATTGAACGTAGCATTTAGGAAATATCAAGATATTGAGAAATCTAAAGAAACTGTTACAAAAATAGTGTTCTAATTTAATAACTTACTTGTCACCTTTGAAATATTAACCTACATACTGACACTATAACCTTAACTTCCTTTCAGGATTAATAATTAACAGACTTACTGAGTCTCACATATTCATACTACTGACCCAATCTCAAGCTTTCACACCACACTAGAAAACCAAACACTTTTACCAAGCTTTTAAGTACTTTCAATTATATCAAATTATAGACTAATAATTGCAATCTCTACACATTTTAAAATTGTAATTTTTTATTTACTGTAGCCTCCAACTGACAATATTTTTGTAGGTACCTTGTAAGGTGATGACGATAATAATAATGTTAATAATAATATCGATAATAATAGTAATGAATCTGCTATATAACGCAATGTCACAATTCTAATTATCAATACAGATTAATCCAGGTTTCTGAAAAAAATTCTAAAAATTGTATTTACCTGACAAATTCATGTCAGCAAAACAACCAGAAAAGGGTGTTGTTGAAATGATGACTAAATATCTGATATTTTGTTTATAATAATCAAGTATAGTATCTGACCTGTTCCCTCTTAGGATTCCAAATGTACCATAGGACTTTAGTCTCCATGGTACAAACTTGTAAAACTAATTGATATTCATCTAGCAAACAGGTGTGTGCTTGCATCAAGTTTGATGCCTCATGAATAGCGAGAGAAACAACCTCACAAAGCATAAAATGCAATATTTTGTGACAGAAGTTAAATGAAAGTTCAGTTAAAAGTTATTAAAATTGCCCTACAATTGGCTGAATAGTTTCCTTTAAAAAGTGTTATTATTACCAGGGAGTTGTACAAAAATGCATGAAAATTAAAAGAACATTAAAGAATCTAATATGAGAAAGAGTTGGTCAAATATATCTTGATATTTACTAACAGTATATCATGAGAAACTACAGGCAAGAACTTGAAGGGGAAACCTAAGGGAGACATGATTCATGGCAATACATTTGTCATCTAAAGATCTGTAAATGATATGTACAACTAATACACAGTGTTAACAGATTCACCTGCAGTTTATTAAGATTTTTGCCCAATAGTTCAAGCAGCAGATGTTGAAAAATACTTGGGTGTCTGAGTCTAAAGCAATTGTTGTAATATTGATGGCATTTTTGGGTGTGGATGTCAATGAAGTAATTACATTCAATGATTTGATTATGGGAGGGAACTTTAAGTTAATTTCCAATAAACACTGAACTGAGTATAGAGTTACTTAGTGCTATTGCTAGATTTAGGTCGATGATTGCTCTAATAAAAGGTATGGACACCTGTGTACTTAAGATTCCTATGTATGCTACAAATATTTCTGGTTTACTGCTATATTTCTTGAACGATCTTTTAAGTGAGTAATCCTTATGCATTGCTAACCTGTAAAAGAATAAACATATTGTCTTTTATTTTGAATCAGTTGGGTGGGATTTAATTGGTATAAAAACCAGAATAACCTAAACTATACGGAAGTCTAAAGACTTAGTTCCAGTGAGATTCTCCTGGTGGTGATTGGGCAGTCGAATTGCTGAGCGGTTACGGCAAGGGTGCAGCACCCGACAGCCATAATATCGGCGCTGGTTTGAACAACACGCTCCCCTGTAATTCTGGAGGTGGAACTAGTCTTCTCGGATAAGGACTATAAACTGTAGGGCCAGTGTACATAATTGACTCATCTGCACTATAAAAAACCATTACATCCTTTGAGACAGCCCGTCACTGTGTACTCATCCAGATGCTGAACAGGCATCGATGAGTAACTGAACAGAACTATTTATTTATTTATTTATTCTTTGTTTATACTAAATTCACACTTTCAATACATAGTACTGATTTCCAAAGTGGTTCAGTTCTTAACAACAGAAAGTTTAAAAAGAAGATTTAAACACACAGTAAAAAAGGAATACTTAACTACAACGTTTAAAACAAACTTCAAAGGAACATTGGATGGAGCTCAAAAAAACAATACTATTCAAAAAATATATATTGATATACAAGGTAAGAGAAAATGTAGTTAAATAAAGATGACATTATTGAGGATTTGAAATAGAATGCTTGAAAGTTGAGCGTCATAGATTTAAGCTACAGTACGTTCACATCAAGCCCGGGTGCCTGTCCGGAGTCTGGAGAAAAAAATTGTGAAAAAATGGGTTCAGTGGTAAATAATATGACCGTTCACATCAAATTCGTACGATTTCCAATCCGGACTCCGGATCCGGATCGATGGATCTGAGAGCCATTTGTAACCTGAAATCGTACATTTTTTTTTCCCTGGACCAATCAGCAACAAGCTTGGTTGGTTCGAACCAATCGAACGAATGCATACTTAACCCGAACAACCATGTTCCGTGCGTGATGTGAACGCAGCATTCAAAAAACGTAGCCACTCACGATTTTTTGTCCGGGCTCCGGACCGGATCCGGGCTTGATGTGATCGTAGCTTTAAAGCTGGTTTAAACTAGACCCAGCAAACAACTTAAATTTATTGTGCAATAGCTATATATAAGTTGTCTTTTTTATTAAATTGTGTTATTAGATATTAACAATACAATAACTATTACATTAATAATTTCAGATGTTATATAACAAATGTGAAAAGTGTATAGTAGTTAAAAGACATGTGGAGAGACAATTATAACTGTTTTACTTTCTAAAGAAGAAAAGGCAAATGCTAGGATGTTAATTGGAGTAGCACTAGTCACTAAGTACAGGGTGACATAGTGGTTATGACACCAGGCTAGTTATCTGAATGTCATGGGTTCATTCCTACCTGAATCACTTGCATTTTTTTTGCAAGTATTATCAAATGCTAGGATGTTAATTGAAGTAACACTAGTCACTAAGTACAGGGTGACCTAGTGGTTATGACACCAGGCTAGTTATCTGAATGTCATTTTTTTTTTGCAAGTATTACGGAACATACTGAGTATTCAGTATGATAACACATCAGCAGAGCAAAAAATAACTCCTACACCTATTCTTATAATAAATTTATGGTTTTGCATTTTTTTTATCTTGTATGTTTTCATTCTGTAATTGGCAGGCTTCCCACAGTTGGATGTGAATCAACATAAACTTTTTTTAAAAAACCATGTCCATCTGTCACATTCTCACCTTTATCAATAAATGTGTTAACCTTCTATGTGATAAAAACCAAGTATGCTGTACCAGACACTAACACCAAATGAAACATTTGCATTGGACATTTCAAGGCAGGTGTTGCAACATTAGTTTTTCTACTGATAATATTGATTGATTGACAGCCACTGTGGCACAAGAAAACTGATGACCACATGACCAGAAGCTTGAAGGTAAACATTTTTCCAATTCTAAACAATTTTTACAGACTTCAAACCCATTTTCACTGCTATTATCAAACCTAAATTACAATCTTATATTTCCAAATTCCCATAAGTGTTTGAAAATCTAAATTGGATATCAGGAGTAATTTCCCCTCTCACGTTAACATTGCTGTCATTATATCATTGTTGAGAGAGGCTTACCATCCAGTTTATTTCAGTTACTTTTAACAAGAAACTGATTTGATAACAGCATGCACATGAACCAGGGAACTTTCCGAAGGGCGTTGCCATACATGATGTCAGGTCTTGTCTACTAGCTCACACTAGAGAGATTTCAGAGAACACTGCTACAACAGATGAGTTTCAAATTTGATAACAGAATCTGACACATTAACATGTAGCAACATGTTTATATATCACTAGAGACTTAGAAGAAGCCTTTACTACCTGTCTTGTTAATATATCAATTAGGGTTTTGTGACCATTCTTAAGGGTCTGATGACTCGTAGAATAATTACCTCCCATTGAGCATTTGTAACTACTATCTTATCCTTTTGTAGTCTCGACTTTCGTTTCTGACGCATCTTTATACACATGCAGAAGTGAAACCTTTAATTTTTGTATTCAATTTGTCTCAAATTCCTATGTTTAGACATTTAAAAATCGAAAAAATAATTATGAATACACTTGTTTATATATTTGTTTGAGATGCAAATTCAATAAATTTTTTGAAGTAATCATTTTAAACTTCAGTGGCCATATGTGGCTTTGTTGATTGAATAATACATATTTTATTTCTACAAAAATAAAAACAAAAAACACAAATCAGATGTTTTTCAATAAATCAGTGAATTGAAATGTACAGGTATATTTTGACTGAGTATGGTCTTTTCAATTTTTAACATCTTCCCCATTTGATTCTGCCATGCGACACAAAACAGGAATTTTCACTGCGGAAGTTCCTCAGAAAATTTCTTAGGTGCCTGAACTATCAGTATTTGACCTTCAAGAGTTCAGAAAAATTCCCCCTAAAATTAACAAGTTTAAAAAAAAAAATGTTTTGATATAAATCTAAGGTCATTTACAACTTGTTTTTTTTAGTTACACGTCTTGTTTTTTTTTTCTAGTTACACCTATCTTGCTTTTTTTAGTTGCACCTGTATTGGTTTTTTAGTTACGCTTGTATTGGTTTTTATTTGTATAGTTACACTTGCCAGTTATGGTTTGTTTTTTTTTTTAGTTTGTTTTTTTTAGTTACACTTTATTTTTTTCTTAAATAACACCTGTCTTTTTTTCTTTTTACTTACACCATTTTGTTTGTTTTATATATAATATATATAGTTTTTAGTTATACCTGTATTGCTTTATTTTTTTTTTTTTTTTATACCTGTCTTTTAGTTACACCTGTATTTGTTTTCTTTTTGGCCACTACATCATCATAATTTCTGGGTTTAGTCATTTTAAAACGTAGACATTTGCAACTACAATATTCTGTTTAAGATTTCTTGATTGGCTGGTTACGTCATTAAGTTGTGTGTAGGTTTACTTTCATTGTTGCAGGTTGCACAATATCTAGTTGTCATCTTGAATGTCATTTTGTAATGGAATGTTAATCACTTAGGCATCTATGAAACTTCAGAGCGTTTCAAACAATTTAGTTTCTTTACTTTATGTGTCTACAATGACATACAAATTGATAAAAATGTTATACGTATATACTGTACATGTGGTGCAAAATATTACCATGTGGCTTGATGGTCTACAGGTGGCATAAAATGTTGGAAAAGTTTATGTTAATTACAACATACACCAGTAACAAGACTGCAACAGAAATTGCAGGATTCTGTATTATGCAATTTTTAAAATAAAGCTTGAGTATATAAATTCCAACATTCTGAAGTTAAATTATGTGATAAGCTGAAACAGTCTATTTTATTACACAAAAATTAAAGCAACAGTAGCACTTCTGCGACTGATTGAGATATTTATTGTCACAAGATTTCGTCTACACAGTACACGTCTTCAGGTAAAGAAGTGTAGTAAAAATTAGCGAGATTAAGCTTAGGGTTATATGCCACCAATCAGCACCTCGGATTTGTGTAAAATCGTCAGATAAATAACCATGGCCTAAAATGTTTGATAAAATAGTATTGCGATTGTCAGCAATGTGACCCAAAATGCTATATAGATTACTTACAATGGTATGCAGTTACAGCTCAAACATAAATATATTATATACTACAACTCTACTTAGCATTTAATACTGTATTTCCTGAATTTAATGTGCATCTCCAACAAAAAAAAAAAAGAAAACTGCAAGTAGTATACACACATCACAAAATAGTGACAAAGGGAAAGCTGAAAGCCCAGACAAGGATCTAAAACCCATAGATTTTGAAACATGAATAATATGCACTACTACCTACATGCTTATCGAACAAGCTCTACTGAAAGTATATATATGGGGAGGGCCGTCATCTTGATATCAAAAACCTTTCACTAATGAAACTTCACTTCTTTCCTTTTGATATATAAGAAAGTTACCGGAGGAATCAATATACCTAATCTTTACACATGCAATTGTGAGACATAACATACCGTCAATTGATGCTAAAGAATAGTTCATCTCATGGATTATGTTCTTTCATGGATTATTATTGTAATTTCTACAAATCAAAGTAGTATCTATCTGAGTAAAGTATATAAACTGATCAAAAGTTATATTTATTTAATGGAGTGGAGAAAGCAGATATAATATGTGAGAAGGGTTGAGGAAAAAAGCAGTTGGATGACGATGAAACCAACCTTTCAATTGAAAATGGCACCAATGTGCTTTATATCAACAAAATGAAAACAAAATAAATGTAAAATTAACAACCAAAATAAAAGGAGTATCAAAAGTTGTGGAGTAGTCATATTAGTCAGTAAAACAATAAGTTGGTAGCACTATTATGACTAAAATAAATTTTATATCAGAAGCTTTTGCCTCAATTGCTTACGTAGGTATAGATTCAATAAAAAATAATGGTAATTATTAGTGTTAAAGTAGATAATGATAAAGCATACAATATGTTTGCCTTTATGTTATGCTTTAGATAAAAATATGCCAATACAGGAAATAACATTGAAAAATGTCTCTTTGGCCAATACAGCAACCCTGAACTTTAAATAATTGAAACATTTCAAATGAAGTTTTAAAAGGCAGATAAAAATTAGAAGAGATGTCAAAATATGAAGTACTATGGGAATCATTTTTATACTACATGGAATACATTTATCAGCAATATATCAACCTTATGTCAAAGATTTTCAATTTTCACGATTGTTCAGGAAGTTTGTTTACTTTTAATTTGGAAACTGATACAAGCCAGGTTTCCATTTGTTAAAAATGGCTGCCAGTATTATTAATACAGCCTCTGTACAAAGCAGGATTGATCGCTTACAAGATGCCACAATTCAGAAGACATACGCCGACCCGTTCTCCCTCAGCGTACCCTGCAGCGATATCCAAGAATAATCACTTATCAATACAAGCAGTGTATAGCTCGCTACTATCCCCTGTCATGTGCTTGATCGAAAAGCTATCATCTGATTGAAAGAGACCATTTTACACCAGGGCTGCCTTGTAAACTAATATCTCACACTATTTCCCTTGTTGTACACACTTTACTAGCACTTACCAATTAAACTTGACATCTCAGTAAAATTTACAATTTACATATCCTGTAATTCTATATTATTAGCAAAAATAAGAAATGAAACTGAAAACTGATCAGCTTTTTAGCAGTTGAAAACTATTATTATGTAGGGAAAGAAAATTACAGAGCTGTTTATTGAACCATAGCGACTTGGACCAGCATCTGGACCAGTCAAACCACCTAGACAATTCAAACCACCTGGAACAGAATTCCATACTATAGGAGACTAGAAACAAGATAAATAATTAGGTAATACTTAAATGAGTGTTTGGCAAGGGGAACGTAAACAAAAACACACGCTAGGTGCAGGGTACACCTGAGGTGATAGTAGTCCCAGGGTATAACAGAAATATTTTTCCACTTTCTCTGGCATATGAATCTGAATGAATTTCATAATTATTATTATAGTTGTTGGACAGTGAATGAATGAACAAATGAATGAGATGATAGTGACCATACCTTGCAAGCTGTGTGGGTGGATTCTTGCTTTTGCTGCCACAGTTCTTCATATCTGAGACCACAGCTGTAGACGTCATTGTTGAGACAAACATCATTTTGGTATTCTGTGGTACTTGTTGGTTGATAGCAATGGCAAGTGTAGAGCCATCATTGGTGTGTCTGGCTACAAATGCACCTCTATGTAGCATAGGGCTGCAGGAAGATCCCAAACTAGACAATGGTGTTCTCAGTGATGTCCATTCTGCTGAGTATGTTGGTTCTCTGAATTTTAGAAATAATAGTTTATTCATTATTAAGGGAGGGTATATTATATTTTCATTTTATTTTAGCTACACCCAAAAGACCACATATACATAAATAACATTTAAGAAGCACATAATATTCAAGTATAAAAAAACATTTTTTTATACTTGAAGACTCAGATTGAGCAAGAGGCTTTGGTTTGAAAGTGGATAAATTGTTGTAAAAATATCAATAGTAGTAGTGTCTTTACCAGTATAGTGTACTACATTATTAAGAAAATCTATAAAAAAAAACCATTTTTTAGTAGCATTCACTCAGGTACAGAAAACAGGTCAGTACTAAATGAGTTGTTTCTATGAATTTAGAGTAAGAATAAGCAAATAAAGGATAAAGGTAACATAAAGTTCATATATTTATAAAGGAAAAACATAAGCAATAAATTTGGACTAGACTTGTTCAATGCGATTGAATTGGGAAGTACAAATAGAGACAAATAAGAACACAGAATTTTTGTAGATGATTGAGATATTATCCATGATAAAACATATTTGATTAAAACATCCATTGTATAAATGATAAAAGTGGAGAAATAGTTGAATTAAAAAGCTATAAAGATTGTTTTTAAGTGTGACATCACTGAAAATATTAAATGAAATTGCCATAGAAGTCGTGAGATGGAATCAAGAATTAAGGCTGTCCTTAAAGTCTATCCTGCACCCCTCCCACTTGCATACTTTCAAATCTCAATGGATGCTAATAGAGTATTAGTGAACTGATTCATTGATTAAAACAATAATATAGGGAGTCAAGCGAAAGGTTTGTTGTCGTCAGGTAGACAGCCGGTCACCAACGTAACAAAACAAGCATGTGAGAAGTGACTTGGTGTTGGATTGGAGGCTTTGGCTTTTGTAAAGACAACATCAATAAACTTCCTAATGAAAGTGGAATTATGGACCACACGCTACCTCTAGGTGCAATATCAATGTTAGGGTTCCGGCAAAATGACAAAAGTGATTTAACATCTCTACTTCTGAGAGAAAATTAAGGGGTAAAGCATTCCCGTGAAATATGTCGATTGACGACTATTCTCCGTTAGTGGCCCTGTTCAATTTAAACCAAACTACTTTTGAAATAATGATTTGATAGGATAATAAGCTTGTGCATTATACTCTGTAAATATTGGAAGGAAATCAGAATGCTTGCACACAAACTGAATGCTTCACGTCTGTGTCACATTTTTAAGAATAATTTAATTTTGATAAGTTTATAGGACAATAGATTTTAAACAATACCTAAGCTGGACAGGAAATATCTGTTGTTACAGTACTTATTACATTAACATAACAGTTTTTCTCCATCAAGCAAAATAGAATCATTATTTTGTACAATAATGCAATAAATGTCTATGTGTGTATATTAATAATGTTAATGTAAAGTTTTTAAATAATCTAATTTGATATTTTGTACATTGTTTATGCTTGTTATAAGTAAGATTTTTTATAACTTTTAGAGTTTTTATGAACACATTCCTGTGGGATTGATGTGTAAGTTGGTTTGTTCCAAATAAACAAAAATTAATGTATGTACTCATAGCAGTTAAAGCATATTTCAAAATAAAGAATTAAATTTATAATGTTACAATCCTTATCAAATACTATAATCAGCTGCCACTTGTATCTCTTTGTGTCTAATTGACAGGGTGCGCAGTACTTTGAAATCTTTGCTCACAATACTCTACCACAATACAATATTTTACTAATAAAACAAATAGAAAAAAGATGAAATTTTAAATAATATTTTACAAATATTTTATTTACAAACCTTGATGAGAATATGTTGGACTGATTTAACCATCGTAAAAGAACAGCTGATATTTGTAGAGAGCTTCCAAAGTTAAACACAAAACTACAGGAACAACATTTACCAAGTACCTAAGAAATGGAGGGAAAAAACATAACAAAAGCAGAAACCTTTGCATATTAGTATTCAAAAATCAGTGTGTGGGACTAAATTTCACCATTTTCTGCAGCTGTTAAATGTGTTTAGTACCTTCAAAATGTATTATTCTATAAGAAACAAAGAACTTGTATCAAAGTGCATATAAAATGCTGCCAAAAAGGTAAGATTACCCCGATTATTGTACTTCCACTTTAGGGACCAACAATTTTACATACTAATATTTTTATAGAAAGTGTTCTGTAATAAATTGGGAACGACATAAAGCGGTTTATATAGGTGTGCAATTACAAGATAAAATTCAACAAATTTCTCGGCTAGTGAATATAGACACAAGGGTTTGTTGGGGGAAAATAACGTTCAAGTGTTGAATTAAATCCCAAGTAGAGGGCACTCATGTAGCTTTCAGAACTAATTTATTAGAAATGCCAAAATCAAATCCTACAGGCTTCTACAGACAGGTTGTGGTAATCAAATATCGATGACGCTGGGGAAGAAATAAAGTGTGCTGAAACAAGATTTTTTAGCTCAATACAGTAATAGTGTAAAGACTAATGATGAGAAGGATTGTAGAACTGTAGTAGCAACCCTAAGGCCGGTGTTACCCCTTAAAAGTGTGAAGGTAGGGAAGACGTGGTCTTGGTGGTAACTGTTCCTTTGAAAATGCTAGATCTAAGACTCTCAATAAGCCTTCTTATGAGACCTAGTTTCCAGAACACACATGTGTCTATAATAATTCCATTCCATCCTGTTATTGCCAATAAAACTTAAAGTTGGAAGCAAATGCAAGAGGGAAAGAGTCCAATCCTCTTTATCCTCTTCCATTCCAGTTACATTAAACAGATTCCAATGGGAAAACAGAGCTATAATTCTGTACTTCAATGGTAGAATCATGCCTGCATCATTGGGGTTGATCAGAAAGAAAGTATGATCTGTTGAATTAAGCATTTAATTAATAATTTGAAATTTACTATGTAATAATAAATAATATCATAAAAAAATGTTTTATTCTATTCTAACCAAAAAAAAAGGAAGTAATAACTATATCTTTCAAATACAAGCATTTCAATAAGCAGTTTAGGAAGATAAAAGTGGATAAAAGGAGAATAAATTGAGAAGTAATGTGCCAAGTCACATGATTGACATAGAATAAGGAAAGTAAAGGAGATGGTTAAACAAAATTTTATTAGGAACCTGACTTTAAGTCAAAATGAAGCAAACCTACAGAATATCAGGAAGTTAATTGTAATTCGAAATAAGTGTGAGCAGCATGACCTGAAAATATACAGATGAAATTATGTTTTTTACTTGATATGATTGAAACAATGATGGCTTTAACAACTGATTATTACAAGGGATGTTCAGATTGATAAGAGACTTGAGTGACTAAACGAAGCAGCTGGAGAGAATATCAAATAATTAGAATGAATGAGACAATCTTAAATTACTTTATGTTTCATGATTTTATTGAGCAACTGCATCAGCCAAAAAAGTTCATAAATTGAAAGAGATTGAAAGTTCATTCCATGTCTGCCAGGAATGACCTACAGTCCAATGCTTTTATATGATTCAGTTGTATCATTAGTGCACACAAAATAGAATAGAATAAAAAAAAGATGATAAAGTTGATAAAACAGATCAGTTCATAACAGTTTAGGAACAAAATATAATTTTCTTACTTCTCTTTTTTAGTTTGTAAGTACATGATGAACACAGTTATGGCTGACAGAATCCAAAGATGCTAAATATTAGGTAATTTGTTGCCTTGATTATAAAAATGGGAAGTGCTCTAACCACAAACCAGGATTTCAACCAGAGAAATTAACACAATCAAAAAGCATCAACAAAACAGTTTATGTTGTAGATTTTAAAATGTGACTCCATACTTGAATCAAACGACTTAAAATTATTATTAATATTCATGTTTAACTAGTAATTTAATTATTTTTCTCGGATTCGTAAATATTTTGAGAGCAATACATAGTTTTAAAAATCGATGATTTAAAAGAAATGAGTTGAATAATTTAAACTAATATAATAATCATGATGATAAAATCATTTAATTAACAACACAATTTATCCGTGTAATCTTAATATATAGTTGTTTTAAAAAATGTTAATTTCTTTTAATGACTTTACCTTGCAATTTAATGACACTGACCTAGGTGTTTTATACATGTTTTCCTTTATTTCTTTTCTTAATAAAGTGATTATTGATGAATCAAAAAACTTCACACTACATAACATTATTAAGTGAATCAGCAAACTTCACATAACTCGAACATTATCAATGTGAATCAGTAACAACATTATTAATGTGAATCAACATGCTTCACACTACTCAACAATATTAATGTGAATCAGCAAACTTCTTACAACTCAACATTATTAATGAGAATCAGCAAACATCACACTACTCAACATTATTAATGTGAATCAGCAAACTTCACACTACTCAACATTATTAATGTGAATCAGCAACTTCATTTTTAAAATGAATCAGCAAACTTGTCACAACTCAACAATATTAAAACTTCACACTACTCAACATTATTAATGTGAATCAGCAAACTTCTCACAACTCAACATTATTATTGAGGTACAGGATATGAGCATGTTTCCTAATCTCATTGAGATAGCATCCACCCTAGTTCATCTTACCAAAACTTAATTTTTACATTCATTAAAAGTTTCCTGTTTAAAAGCCAAAGAGACCATTAATAAAATGTTCTTTATTTTCTTAATAAAACGTTTTGTGCCTGGCATTGTTTAGTATTTTTATATAGTCACTTTTTTTTAAAAGATATGTGCAATGTAATAATTTCATAATTAATTATTCTGAATTTGAATGGTTTTTCATATGCTTTTAACATTTTTTATATAATCACATTTTTTTAATGTATGTGCAATATTTTTATATTATCCACATAATGTATTCTTATTTGTAATAAAATAAAATTTAATTGAATTAGTAGCATGTTTTTTGTTTTTTTTAAGCAACCAATATATCAATGAATATGAACGTCATGTTTGTTCTTATCAGCCCAAATAGATCAAAATTGTTGGCACAAAATGGTTAGGAGGGCCACAAATGAACTTTTTATTTAACTCTGAGGGCTGCAACCAAACTTTGATAATTCTAGAAAAAATCTTTACGCACTTTTTTAATAGTTCTATACTGCTTTATGCTCAATTTTAATAAATTACTACTATACAGATGATCGGTGAATATAAGGGATTTTCTAGCCGAAGATGGTAGGCAGGCTGCACACATAGGATTGTCGGAGGCCGCAATAAAACTGTTACGGGCTGCACGTTGCCGACATGTGGTGTTGATCTTCGTGTCATATATGTGAGTATCTCTTGCACTGAATAAACCAAATTAAGTGTACACGAGAGATAGAAATGTCTTAGCCTTTCAACACATAATAACATTTTGATTTAAAAACGGGATGCAATTCAACTCTTTTTAGGAAAATACATAATAATTTTGTCTGCATCTGAAAGAGTCTTAAGCAAAAATACTTAATCCATCTGCAGTAACTAGGGTTAGAATACACTTAGGATGCTGAATTCAAATAATTATGTTTCTCTTGGGTCATCATTAATTCATTAAAAGTTTACCCAACAACATCATAAACGTGCATTTATTTTATAATATTTTAAATTTATAAATTCAATGTCTGATATTTGTTTTTGATATGTTTGATACTTAAATCGGTTGACAACATTTTAATGTTTCAAATATCATTATAATAATTTTGGATTTAAAGCCCCATTCCCGGCAAAATTTCAGCTGTTAAGAAAAATTTGATTTTTATATATGTTATAAAGATTTATAAATATAATACAAAATTGCTAGTTTAACAGAATTTAGAGATTCCTAAACATGAAAAAAATGTAAAATAACACTGAAATATGATTTTTTGTGTTCCACACACAAAATAAATGCAGATGAATCTTTTATGTTTGATTTTGCAAAATATGTTTACCAAGAAATATAGTAGGCGCCGGAAATGTTAGCCTATCCAACACTGCTAGGCTAGGCCTAGCCTTACCTCGATTTAGGTTCTGTTATCACACATAAAAATGGACGACATATTTTCCGTTGCTAGTACTGACACTTGTGAAATATAATATTTCATAGGAATTATTTCAAATTTGTTAAAAAATGGTTCTGACCGAGATTTTGACAATTAAACAAACATATCTCATGCCTACTCCATCAACCGCATTGTGCGAGATGCGAAGTACAAAAACCAATTTCATTAGAGAGGGCGCACTTTATTGACTGTATAAAGTATACAAAAAAGCGAGAGCATTCCAGCGAATACTATCTACAACCTCTGAATTTGCCTAGTAACGAAGAATTCGACGAAAAAATGGTAAGCTCCTATTTAAGAAATAGTCTGTATTTCTTTTTTTTTTTTTTCAATTTTTTTTGAATAAAACTAAAATTTATGACAATATTTTTCCATGGTTTATAATAATTGGAGTAATGCTTATGCATTTTTTCAAAAAAATTCTTTTTTTAGTGAAATTTTGCCAGGAATGGGGCTTTAATTAAATATTTGACTTATGAGTGTTAATCAAAAGCATGTTAAAAGTGCTTGTTTAATAACTATTAATATATATCATTATCACTGATATTGTATTCATTTCATTGATCCATCTGATTCTAGTCCATCAGGGTTAACCTACCATAAGGTTAAATTAAATCATAACCTAGAGTTAGTTATGGTTATCCTAGTGTTGTGGTAACAATATGTTGCACCTAGTCATACAGTCAAGTTATACTTTAGCCATGTGATTAATCAAGTCATGTGCTTAACCCAGTAAAAAAAAAAAATAAATTTGTTCTTATCAAATATAAATAAATATAATAAATATATATATATATATATATATATA